TTTTAAAAACAAATTTACTTCGAAAAAATTAAGATTTTTTAGAAACTATAAATTAAACAAAAATTACTTTTTTTGAAAAAAAATTTTTTTCAAAAAAAATCTATTTTTTTTTTTTTTTTTTTTTTAATTTTTTTGGAAAAAAATAATGTTTTCTTCTTTATTTGGGCATATTTGGAAGATCTTTTTTCAAGCAATCGTACTGCTTTAACTGCATATAGACAAAATGTCAAAGCGCGTAAGCGCCGCGTTGCCGTCTAACGAATAAATATTGGTACGGAACCCATAGGAATGCAAACAAAATTTATACTTATTGTTAAAATCTCTATAAAATATCTGATAATTTGATGTGCATATGTCTAATGATCATTTTTGACCGCCAAATGGCATTTTTTTTACTTTTTTCGTTAGATCTCCGAAACCGCTGGACCTGCCCTCATGAAAATTTGATCAATTCTTCATCTTGTCAATACAAGTCAAATGTTTTTTGAATTATTAAAATCGGACGCTCCGTTCTCTTAAAAACTGAGTTACCGTTTTCGGCACTTTTTGCCCCGTATCTTTGGAACGGCTGGACCTGCCTTCGCCAAAAACTAATCAGCACGTCTCCTTGTCAATACGAATCGAATGTTTTTTGAATTATTCAAATCGGTTGATCCGTGTTCCCGAAATCGTCGAAGAAAATTTGTATCTGCACATACATACACACACGTACATACATACATACATACACACACACACACATACACACACACACACACATACATCCATTTTTTCTAAGGTATGCCAAAATGTTAAGAAACCTCTGAAACGTAAAGATATATAAAATTTTTCATTTTCGATTTTTTTGCGATTACTATAACTTACCCTACGGGAAGTTAATAAACAGTTGAAAATTTCATCTTCTCAAAAGTCTCAAATTCGGTTGATTTAGTCAATTGTTTCACATTTCGTGAAGTTTAACCTTTGTCTATTATTTTAGCTAAATGATGATAAACATTTTGTTCCCAAAACCGTGCAATTTTAAATAAATTTATATTTTATTTCGACGCATTGGCCCTGCTAAATATTTAAATAAATATATGTTTAAACGTGGAACAAAAAAACCTCAAAATACATTTATTTATAATTACTAATAAATTTTTATTATCTAATATCACATTAATTTGCTTTAATAATTTGCTTTATTATAGTATATTTTTTATATTTAAATATTATATAAATGACTTATATCAGAGCGTATATTGCTTTGCACAGTAAATGTCAAATGCAAAACTTGTTATCTGTAGCTGAAATTGCATTATTTATTTAATCTTAAAAGCAGCGGTCGGACATCCACCTTTAGCATTAATTTCATTAATAACATTCTGAATGGTTTTTGCAATTTGTTTCTCAACGACAATTCGGATCACATCTCTGAAAATAGTTGTAGTCACTCTAGACAGGGCATTTACCAGCCAATCAGTCAAAATATTGCCTCTTAAGTGCACTCGAATTTTTCTGAAAGTTCAATAAAAATTATATAACATTTCTTCGTAGCTATATGATTAAATATCTTACTTGAGTTGTGGTACTTCAAAATGTTGAAGATATATTGTAAAATCGTGTAGATCAGCAATCACATCTAAGAAAATTTCAGTTCCTCTAATCTTTGCCACTACATTGCCTTTAGGACCAATATTCATAATTTTTGCTAAATATTTGTAATCCAGCTATAAAAATATGATAATTATCAAATGTTAGTGGTTGTTGAAAAGCAAATGAAGTAATTTATATAAAAGATTTGATTAAAAAATATGTATGCGAGCGTATGTCTGCATATTCATGAGATTGTGGGTATGAACTAATTTTAAATTATTATCTATATATGGAGACACTGCTTATATCATGTATAATATAGTGTATGAATGCCCATAAGGTTAGAAACCAGTGAAATAAATCAAAATACGAAACCAGTGGTGCATGGCATCGTGCCTTAAAGCAAATTGCTGAAACTTCCCGTACGAAAAATTAAAATTTTTAAAAAAGTTTCAAGAATTTTTGAACACTAAAAACAATTGATTTTTTTTTTCATTTGTTGAAACTTTTTGAAAAATTTTGAACTTTTTTTCAAAGCAATCGTGCAGCGTGGCTGTGTTATAGAAGAAATATCGAAGCGCCGCGTCGTAGCCTAACGGATAAATGTTGGTACCGAACCCACGTAAATGTAAACGAAAATGGTGCTTATTATTAAAATCTCTATAAACATCTGATAATTTGATGTACACATGTCTAATATGTCTGATATGCCTAATATGTCTAATGATCATTTTTGATCGTCAAATGCCTTTTTTTTACTTTTTTCATTGAATCTCCGAAACCGCTACACCTGCCTACCCAAAAATTTAATCAACTGTTCATATACAAGTAAAATGTTTTTTAAATTATTCAAATCGCACGCTCCGTTCTCTCAAAGTGCCAAAATTACCATTTTGGCACTTTTTGCACCGTATCTTAGAAACGGCTAGACCTGTCTTTGCCAAAAACTAACCAGCGCATCTTCTTATCAACATGAATCGAATGTTTTTTAATTATTCAAATCGGTTAATTGGTATTCTCGAAAATGCCGACAAAAATTTGTATCTGCACACACACACAACACGCATACACACACAAATACCACACATACCTCAATTTTTTTTAAGGTAAGTCAAATGTTCACAAACCTTTTAAACGTAAACGACAAAAATTTAAAATTTATTCTAAAAATTTTAAAACTGTTCCAAAGATATCGGTTGGGAATAGAGCCGAAACGTTTCTTCGTAATTAGTTGTACAAAAATATGAGTTTGCGACAGGTCGTTTAATTTAAAAAATTATCGAAATTTGCAATAATGCTCTACATAAAAAATTCAAAATTCCATTGTAACATTTTTAAAATCATGCTAACAAATGGCAAAATCTAAATTATTTTAAGTCAATCATTTAAATATATCGGAAAGTACATTCCCTTAAAGGCAGTTAACTGGTGGACATGTATACTGGTGGAGAGGTATACTGGTGGATAGGCATACTGGTGGGCAGGTTTACTGGTGAATTATTAAATTAGTGGACTGCTAAATTGGTGGACTGGTAAATTGGTTAACAGGTAATTTGGTTAACAGGTAAAATGATAAACAGGTAGAAAGATAGACAGATAGTCATATAGACATGCAGAATCAAAAACAAAATAGCTGGGAGACTAGATGTAACGCATATTCATTTTTATTCAAATCTTTAATTGAAAATAAAACACGACGAAGCATGAATGGGAATATAAGTTTAAAAACTTGATCCGTTATTTCGTCAGAAATATTGATCAACAATGTTATAATAACTTTGCCAGGGTAATGTTTCGGTTGGTACTTTTTACCTCATCCATCACATGTAATATTTTATAGAGATTATATGAAAAAATGTTGAAACTAACATAAAAACTAGTGGGACGAGGGGTGCATGGCATCGTGCATTAAAGCAAATTGCTGGAACTTCTTCAAAATTACTCTGTAAAATTAGATTTTTGAGAAACTCTAAATTTTTGACAAAAATTTCCTTTCTTTTTGAAAAAAAAACTTTTTGAAGATAAGTGTATTTTGAAACATTTTGCAAATTCTGAACTTTTTTTCAAGGCAATTGTATTGCTTTAACTGCATAGAGACGAAAATATCAATGCGCGTAAGCGCCGCGCCGCCGTCTAACGGATAAGCATTAGTACGGAACCCACAGGAATGTAAACAAAATTTATACTTATTGTTAAAATCTCTATAAAATATCTGATAATTTGATGTGCATATGTATAATGATCATTCTTGACCGCCAGATGGCATTTTTTTTTACTTTTTTTACTAGATCTCCGAAATCGCTAGACCTGCCTTTGTGAAAATTTGATCAGTTCTTTATCTTGTTAATACAAGTAAAATGTTTTTTGAATTATTCACATCGGACGCTCTGTTCTCTAAAAACTAAGTTACCGTTTTTGGCACTTTTTGCCCAATATCTTCAGAACGGCTAGACCTTCGCCAAAAGCTAATCAGCACGTCTCCTTATCAATACGAATTGAATGTTTTTTGAATTATTATACACACATACATCAATTTTTTCTAAGGTATGCCAAAATATTCAGAAACCTCTGAAACGTAAAGATATATAAAAATTTTGATTTTCGATTTTTTGCGATTACTATAACTTACCCTATGGTATGTTAAATAACAATATATCCTTTAAAACAATGAATTAATGTATACTTGAAAATTAAATCAATGTCTGGATAAATCGTAAGAATACATCTTTTGCTCTCTAATTTTAAATATTGTTGTCAAAATATTCCTAACTTTACTTGTACTTTGTACTTGAGTTATCGGTTGTAAGCCTTTTCATTTGTCATTTTTGAATTATCTGTTTATTACAAAAGAAATTACTTAATATTCGGCCACATAGTGAATATATATATATATATATATATATATATATATATATTCGGAATTCGGCCGAATATATTAAGGCTAAGTAGCGAATAGTGACCGCATATTCCTTGTAAGCCTAATTATTACAAATCAAAAGAATGATTTTAATCAGTTAATTTTCTTGATAATGCCGAGAATAACAAAAAGTAAGTGTATTTGCATACTTACACTTGGGTGTTTAAAACGCAATTGTTAAGAAAGTTGGTGTATATGATGAAAATACGTTAATAATAATTGCACACAAGAATGATATAAGGTTTCAAGCGCTTTAATTTTACGAGCTTGAAACCGGAAAATGAATTTTACCTTCAAAGAATCAAACTTAAGTCCCAAGGATAATCTGAGTAATTTATTGTTATAGTGCAAGGTCGCATTTCCTGCGCGGCTAACAGTCGACAAATCGCTCAATGTGCCATTTGTTAACTCCAATTCTCCATGATACGTGATCAAAGCTGGTTTCTGCAATTCATAGACAATGTTGTTAAACTTGATTACAAAAACATACAAAAACAATTTGTAACATATATTTTATTTTTGGAAGTCTAAAACAAAACATTTATACCATGTATTTTATGCAGTAAACATAATTACGATGGTAAGAATGATTTTTTATTATTTTGTTCAAGATTTAATCGAATCTAAATATATCAATCAAAGCAAATGAAAGCTGTTAATCCGTTTTATCAAAATTGGAGCATCGATAACAAAAAATGTTTTTGATTTGAGCTAAAAATGTATTTTTCCATTTATTAATATTACAAATCAAAGTTTGAAATCATTTATTATATTAAACTAGTAGATAGGTTCTCCAGAGCTGTACTTTATACTACTGTATTTGCATCAGTAGGATTAAAGTGATGGACTGAGATTTAAACATATATTGATTGAAAAAAAAACAGACTCGTATTGATAATAAAAATTAACATTAGACTTCGTTTTCGAATAATACATAGAAGGCGTTTTTTACATATACTTCATACAAATAATAAAACAATTATCGGAACGCATTAATTATCTGCGCAGAAGAAATTAATTTGAGGAACAATTTCTATCAGGTTTAAATTAGGCGCATTATAAATATTACTTCCTAACTTTATACTTTGAGCACTTTCACTCTCATTATGAATGTATAAGGAATGACGAATGTATTCAGAGAAAACAGTCAATATTTGCCTATTTTCTAAAACTAAGTATGAAAGGATTATATTTACCGCACTAAATCCTTCTTTAATATCAGGCATTGCCAGAGGGTCCAAATTTTTATCAGAAAAGAAAAATCCAATGTCATCCATAATGGTATCTAAGATATCATTTATATTTGCTGCAATAGGTTCACTTCTTGATTCTGATTTGGCTAGCTCACTTTGGAATTTTAAAGCAAAAATAAAAAATATTGATTATAAACGTTGCCTAACACATATAATAAAATATTGGCGCTATATTTCAGAAAACTATTTTTTTTTAAATTGCTACTTCTTTAATGATTGGCAATGTTAGAGTTCAGTGCAAAATTTCTAAGAATTTTATTTAATTTAATGCTGCCAAAATAAAAATTATAGTAACAATATTAGTTTTAATATTGTTACTATAATTCCAGAAAATTCAAATGGAAAAAAAGTTAAGAGAATTTTATTTTAAACAAAACAAACATCTTTGATTTATTGATCATTTGTTCATAATATTAAACGCGCTTGTCATTTTTTAAAAACCTCAATAACTTTTTATCTACTATGTAGTAATTGCTTATTTTTTTCAAGTTTAACTATTTCTTCACAAAATAGTAAATAAACAAACAGAATAAAATACTAAATAAACAAATTGAAATACATCTATATATATTAAAATTTAAGTTTTCTTAGAAAGAATTATTGTTTATAATTTTCAAATTTTTAAACCAATAATCTTCCTTTTTTCTCAAAAATATATTTATTTAATTTAATGGAAATATTTTTTTTTCAGGAACTTCAAAACTAAAATTTTTCTAAATTATACATCAACTAAAATCAAATCGTATCGTCACTAAAAATTATATTTGAAAATATGCTGAACTATAGATGTTTTGATGTTTATCATAATGTTACCAATACCGCTTGAGAGTACTTGAAAGCAATTATCATTTGAGAAGCTACAAGAATTAAGATAATAGAATATCTTCTATACCAGTAATCTTAACTACAGCAATTAAAGAAATTAATAAAACAATAATTGTAATATGATTATCTAAAATTTAAAAAATAAAATAAATTATTAATTGATATTTCTAGGTACTTGTTTTGGTAAACAATTATAAGGTAAAGAATAGGAAATCCGGTACATATTAGAAAAAGTTTCTGAAGAAGGGGTAATCCCCGAAAGTTTAGTTTCAAAGTCTCTAAGGAAAGGGATATATTGTATTTCCGAAAAGCAGAGTGAAATAATAAAATATATATACCAAACAGTAAATCAATTATAATAATTCAATAATTATGTTAGAATGAACTCACTTTGGAATGAATTTCCATAAATCATTATCAAAAGCTTCCATATAAGAATCACATTTCGTAACCGCTAATGCGATTAGAAAGCACAATAACACTTTCATATTGCAAATTAAACGTATGAAATTTTCTGCTCAAGTTAAATTTGTCTCAAATCAAAAATCACAGTTCTGATAAATCGTTCGTGTTCCGGCTTTATATAGCACATAGATCCACTTGAAATCACGAAAAATCAATCGACGACAAAGGGGTATTAAGAACCTTCTCACGGTTGGTTGATAACGATTTTCGTAATAATGAATATAAACAAAACATTGATTAGTAGCTCACGACCTTATCTGCATGCATATCTTTAAGATAGGCGAGACTTGACACCGGCCACTTGTCATTTGATACTTTTTTTGGCATTTGATACATACTCGTAGATTATTGCACAACGATGATCTGCGAACAACGGATGACAATTCGCATGGGAAACGAATTGTAAACATGTTGAAGTATAATCATTTCAAAATTTCCACTGTTTCCTCTTCAATATCTATTTTTCCATAACGCGCAATCACTTATAACTGAAAAAATATATATAAACAATTTTGTGGTCACAATATCTTCCCTGAATCTTATTGGAGTCCATCTTAGCATTCTGATCTGCTTTCGGGCAAAAAATATTCGATTTGCATTTCATGATGAAGCAACATCATGGCTAAATGGAAAAGCGGCTAATATTCATAATTCTTTAGCATAAAAATGATCTTATCAAGAGTTTCGCTCAGATCGAAGTAAATTATGAACAAAACCATGCAAATCATCGCCAATAATTCGAAAACGCATATGAAACGAATTGTCAACAAGTTGAATTACGTATAATCATTTCATGTTTACCATTCGATTTTCATCTATTATTTTTCCGTCACTCCCAATCATTTATAACTGCAAAAAATATGTGATTTTTTTTATTTATGCTGAATAACTGCAATATGATTTAGAACAATATTTTTTTTGAATAAATCAATATTTGAGCCGCTCAGTGCACACATCGACTAACTCCATTTTTTGAAAAAACTGAGATATTATTGTGAAAGTACTCAGTGTAATCATAACTGTTAGTGATAATAATGACTTTTCGGAATAATGAAAATTAACACTGTAAAACATATTTTTTTTGACCTCTGAATAATAAGTCATTTATTTCAGAAGACATTTTGATTAACTCCATTTTGTAGTGCATATGTTCCGGCTGGACCGGCTTACATACTAAAATTCGTGTACCCGGCAAAACAGAAATATTAAAACTGTCTTAAGTTTATTGAAACTTGTTTAAAATACGGAAATAAGAGCTAAGTCAATTGAAATGAAATTTCTGGTCAGTGGAAATTGCTATTTACCTATTGACTCTAGATTATTGAGTCACATGCAAAAAAAATCGAGACATTTTTTCAATAGATAATTGGTACAATATAATAAAAACATGTAAAAGGAAAGCGCCATTTTAGTTAATCCAAATATTCCACTAAGATTTTTTATTAACAAAGCCATTAGAACAATCACTAACAGAAAAGTAACCATTACAGAGTGTCCAGTACATTTGCTTAAAATACGCTGGATAAAGTTAGAAATCTTATATAAGCCAATCTTATATAATTTAAATGTGTATATAATGAAGATACGTATTTTAAAGCTAAAGTCTGTACCAGGTTGACCAAAATGTTTGAATAATATACAATAGTCGTTATTATATTATAAAGCTAGAACTTTGAAAAAGGAAAAATTGAGAGACATAAAGGACTTGCTAAAATTCATTCCCCCCACTACGAAAAATTGACAGAAATTATTCTAATCATCATAGAATATAGCTGATAGAGAAAATATTATTTATAGTATTACTGATTAATCACAAATAATATATTACAACAGTTAACATTTATTTTTATAAAAATGCATTAACACAAATATATAAGAATTAGGTTTATTATTTTTTTTCAGTTGACAACTTGATTAACTCCACAAGTCATATCAAATCTTTAACTTGAATTATAATTATTTACTCACTATTTACTGTAATTAACCTTATATACCGTCACATGTAAGCTATATATGTATTTATAAGTTCTACATTATATTTTCCAACTTATATTATTACAGGAATTTTTAAAAGCAATGTGCATTACTTCATCGCTTTTCTCCACTTTCTGTTTTTTAGAGTTAGTCACTGTGTGCACTGAACAGCTCATTTATTAATCAGAATTACTGACATTAAGTAGGTGCACAACTTTAGATAATTCTTTTTTGTTCTTTTCAAAGTCTTTCGGCTTATTAATATTGTATAATATTCTGTACAATTTGATTCTGTATTAACTTTAGTGAAAATTATCGCTTTTAGTTTATGCATGTTTATGCATTTGTGCTGGGCGATTAGGAACTTTGTTTTCGGCAAATTAAAGTCTCATATAGAGTAGAGCACCAAAATAGTTTGAAAAGCAAAACATTGTTATTTTCTAACGATACTATTATAATGCAGAATGCAATTAATCTGCAACCAGAAATCTTTTTAAATTGGGCGACGTCGCAATCAGGAGGTAAACGGTCACATTATCAAATTTGACAGTTATTCGTTTGACATGTGTTATTTATTTTGATATAGCTGGTTTGGTTTTCACAGTAATTGCTAAAGGTCAAATAAGACCTTTGTACCCCGCATTACTCTGAACCTACTCATCGTATATATTCAAATATTTGGTATGTTATTGTAATTGCAAAAATTCTTAATTTTGAAAAAATCGAGAGAATTCGAAGCAAAAAATCCGGGATAAGTAATGCTTATAGAAAAAACAGGAACCCATTGTGGATATACTCGCCCGCAGGTAAGCGGTTAAGAGCGACGGGACTTGTTTCAGAGGTCCCGGGTTCGATACCCACTTCGAGCAGCCTGTTGTCAGGCAGCAGTGACAACGATTTTCATTTGAAAATATAGATAGCAATATGCTTCCAAGTGATAGATTAATTCTAATAACCAAAAATCATCAGATATGGATGGATTAACCATTCGGTTACCATCTAAACATACAAAGTAAGGAGAAGTTTCAGCCCAACAGCTCATAGGATGTAATTTGCTGTTCTTACTTCTGTTTGCTGTTCAAAAATAATAATAAAAAAATGTGGATATTTGGGACTGTCCCGGCCAATTTGTGAGGTATGGTCGCCTTACTAGTAGAGTTTTCCTGAATCTTATTGAAGGTCATCGCAACTTAATTCTGCTTGTGAGCAAATAATATATGATTTGTTATTTCTCGAATACCATGTTGAAGCAATTACGATGTAGGAAAGTGAAAATTTATAGAAAATACACTATTCTCTATCATAAATAAGACCTTTATTTCATTGATGTTAACATTGCTCACCATCCGTTATGTGAAGCAAATTCTTGCAACATTTTCATATCTAGTCTTCTAGTTTGATAAATTAATCCGACGTTTTAAAATTTATATTCTAAGCCACACTACAAATTCATTTTTATTTATTTTGTTCTTAAATTATGTTTTTACACAAGTTTGTTGTTAATAATCTGCATAGATGTTTTTTGAACGTCAAACTTTCTCATTTATATTTTGTTAATTAGATTTTTATTTTGTTATGTTAAATTTTTATTTTCTGTTCAATCTTCACCCGAAAAGGACAAGAAATACAAGTCACAATCGTACCCCAAAATTTGTCACTAACCATACCCAATGCACACTTTTGAAAACAAATCATCTTTATGAGTGAGCTAAATTATCAAATTATTAAAAACTAATTGCTGGTAAATAACTACTAATTTGCAATTTACAGCAAAATAACAAAAAAAGTAATTTATCTGCATACAACAGTTGAAGAATTCGAACATGAAAG